AAAAAAAATCTTGAAAAAGAAAAAAAGTGGGATTCATATTTTCCAATTTCAAAACTTACTACATACCAAAACTTTTAAGGGATGCTTTGAAACACTACTAGGAAGGAGGTTTATAGCTCTAAGTGCATATATTAGAAAGAAAATTCTCAAATCAACAACCTAACTTCATTACCTCAAGAAACTAGGTAAAAAAAGAATGAACTAACCTCAGAGATAGTAGAGGAAAGAAAATAATAAAGAATAGAGCAGCGATAAACACGGTAGAGAATAGAAAAACAATAGGAAAAAAATCAGTGAAACCAAGAGTTGCCTTTAGAAAGATCAAAGTGAGAAAACATTAGCTAGATTGACTAAGAAAAAGGAGAAAAAACTCAGTTAAAATCAGAAATGAAAGAAGAGACTGTAAACAACTGTATGCCAACAAACTGGGAAACCCAGTGAGATCCTGACCTAATAGAAAATCTAAACAGACATACTAGTACAGAGATTGAATCAGTAATCAAAAATGAACAAACAACAACAAAAAAATGAACAGACACATGCAGAGATGCTCAACATCACTCATCATCAGGGAAATACAGAACTACACCTCTCAGTTTGCTAAAATTAACACAGGAAACAGCAGGTGTTGCCGAGGATGTGGAGAAAGGAGAACCCTCTTACACTGTTGGTGGGAATGCAAACTGGTGAAACCACTGTGGAAAATAGTATGGAGGTTCCTCAAAAAGTTAAAAATAGCACTACCCTGCAGTCCAGCAATTGCACTACTAGGTATTTACCCAGAGGATACAAACATACTAATTTGAAGGTATACATGCAACCTGGTATTTATAGCAGCATTATAAGCAATAGCCAAATTATGGAAAGAGCTCAAATGTCCATCAACTGATGAATGAATAAAGAAGATGTGGGTGTTTGTGTGGTGTGTGTATACAATGGAATATTACTCAGCCATCAAAAAGAAATCTTGCCATTTGCAACAACATGGAGCTAGAGAGTATTACAGTAAGTGAAATAAGTCAGAGAAAGACATATCATATGATTTCACTCATATGTGAAATTTAAGAAACAAACGAACATAGAAGAGAAAGGAAAGGAAAACCAAAAAAATAGACTCTTAACAATGGAGAACAAACTGATGGTTACTGGAGGGGAGTAGTTGGGGGGGATGGGTTAAATAAGTGATGGGTATTAAGAAGGGCACTTGTGATGTGCACTGGGTGTTGTATATAAGTTTTGAATCACTAAAATCTATACCTGAAACTAATATTACACTGTATATTAAATAAGTGGAATTTAAATAAAAACTTGGAAAGAAAAAAAAACCCTGCTAAACAAAGAATTAACACCAATTCCCCTCAAACTTTTCCAAAACATTGAAGAAGAAGGAACACTCCCAAACTTACTCTGAGGCCAGCATTACCCTGATACCAGAGCCAGGCAAATCCAGTGCAAGAAGAAAACCACAGGTCAGTGTTCCTGATGCATATTAAGGCAAAAGTTCTCAACAAAAATACTAGCAAACGGAATTCAGCAGCACATGAGAAGGATTATACACCATGACAAAGTGGGATTTATTTCTGGAATGCAAAGATGATGCAATATATAAAAATCAAGCAATGCAATACACATTAACAGAATGAAGGGGAGAAAAGCCACACGATTATCTCAGTGTAGAAAAAGCATTTAACAGAATGTAATACTTCTCATGATAAAACACTCAAGAAACCAGGAATAGAAGGAAACTGCCTCACCATAATAAAGGCCATCTATGTTAGTCCACAGCTAACCTCATACTCAGTGGTAAAAGACTGAAAGCACTGGTTTTGCTGCATCCATAAGTTTGGTATATTCTGTTTTCATTTTTATTTATCAAGATATTTTCTAATATCCCTGTAATTTCTTTGTTGTCCCATTGGTTTTTTAAGTTTATGTTATTTAATTCCCACACGTTTGTGTATTTTCTAGTTTTCCTTCTGCTTCTGATTTCTAATTTTGTTCCTTTGTGATTGGAAAAGACACTCTCATTTCAGTCTTTTAAATTTTATTGATAAAAGTTGACTTGGGTCTATGTGGTCTATCTTGGAGAATGTTCCATGTGTACTTGAGAAGAACATGTATTCTGTTGTATGTAGAATACACATGTATGTCTCTTAGGTCCAGTTTGTTTAGACTGTTGTTCAAGTCCTTTGTTTCCTTATTGATCTTCTGTCTGGTTTTTCTATCCATTATTGAAAGTAGAGTATTGCTATTATATTTTAGCAAGTAATCAAAGCAATAAAACAGACTGTACATTCTGTCCTGCTGTTTGTGGGCAGTAGTTTAATTCTCAGTTTAGTTCTCTAAGGTTTTGCTTACAATGTTTTGTGTCCTCCTCATGCACCTATGATTCAGGTTTAGGCTAAGCTTTGAACTCGTTTGTATCCGAAACTAGGGAATCTCTTTTTCAGAATGTTCCCCCTCAAGAGTTCCTCCCTTTCTTTCCAATTAGGCAGTGTTCCTTGCCATGATTCTTGCAACAAGAAATATGTCCAGGCTTTTACAGCCCGTTTTTTGCCCCAGTTTAACGGTCCCTCCCTTGTGACAAGATTGTGAGTGATAGAGAAAATAGCAAGAAACTCACCCTAGTGTAGTTTACTTTTTAAAGTTTTCACTCCTCTCCACAGTCCTCTGCTCTTATTTTAACTTGATTTTTTTTTTTTTAAGTAGGCTCCACACCCAACGTGGGGCTTGAACTCACAACCCTGAGATTAAGAGTCGCTTGCTCTATCTACTGAGCCAGCCAGTCACCCTTCCAGAGATCTCTTCTTTGGTTTACTCTAATTACTGACCTCAAGTGTTTGGGTTTTTTTATTTTGCCAAGCATTTTTAGTTGATATCAGTCAGAGAGGGAGACGACTATAAGGGATTTACACCACTATGATGGAACTAGAACTTCTTCAATTAAAGAGTTATTTAACAGTGAAATTATTTTTCATTTATTTTCCCTTGTATCATTGTGGACTCATTTTTTTATTGTTTATATTTATCACAGTCATTTTTATAATACTGTTTTCACAGTGTTGGTCAGTCATGCTTCTGTAAGTCTTTGACATTTTCATTTCTTTCTTTCTTTCTTTTTGGCATAAAATTTCTAAGCTTACCTTTTTTGCCCTGTTCCAAACTGTTTAACCATGCTGGATCTATATAAATGACATTGATATTTAGAAATGATAATTTAGGAGTTAAAGAATACTCATTACAACTATCTTTTTTTACAACATTTTCTATTCTATTGCATTTGGTCTGTTTAAGCTTTCTCTTCTTAGTGATTATTTTGAGCAATTTTGATGAATTTTTCTAGAAGTATTAGTGATGTATTCAAAGTATTCATAATATCAATAAAATTCATTTTAGTTTTGCATTTCCCCCTAAGTCATTTTTTTTTAAGATTTTATTTATTTATTTGACAGAGAGAGAGACAGTGAGAGAGGGAACACAAGCAGGGGGAGTGGGAGAGGGAGAAGGAGGCTTCCTGCTGAGCAGGGAACCCGATGCGGGGCTCGAGCCCAGGACCCTGAGATCATGACCTGAGCCAAAGGCAGACGCTTAACTGAGGCACCCAGGCGCCCCTCCCCTTATCATTTCTTTCTTATTTTTTTATTTTTACCACTTTTTGGTTGGTTTGGCTAATGTTGACTTTTTGATTTTTAAAGCACCAGCTCTTTAGTTTACTTGTTAAGACTATACTTTTCAACTCATTACATTGTGCTCTTAATTTGTTTTTGTTTTTGTTTTTCTTTCCTTTACTGTTTTTTTTTTAAGTTTTGGAATTGGCTCCTTTGAACTCATTTATTTCTTTTTAATGGCAATAATTACTAAAGTCTTTGAATTCTCTGAATGCTCAAATTGAATGCCCCAAATTCAGGTATGTACTTATTTTCTCTGTTGTACCCTTTCAGTTTTTTATTTCCATACTTACCCAGTATTTATTCTGGAGAGGATATCCATTTCCTATCAAATGTATTTTGGTTTTCTGATATTGTAACTAATTCCTATTGTTACTTGTTTCTGGAGAGAAAGTGTTTGTATTATCTCAGAGTCTAGCACATACCATACTCTACTCACAAGGTAGTATTTCTTGCCCCCAAGTGTCTTCCCACTTGTTCAGCACATATAAATTTAATCAAGATATTCTGTCATATTGGTTGTTATTCTGCAGGCTACATCTGTTCATTCTTTTTCACATATTTCCTGAAACTCTTTTTCCAGATTCCTTTACTGTATAGTTCAATTTCACTTTTCCTCAAAGTACCCAAATCCTCAGAATTCCCCATGATTTTCATTAGGGTGTATACCTAGTTCCTGTCTGAAAATTCATTGACAGAATTCTAGGAGTTAATAGAATGGTCATTCTTGGTTAAAACGGAAAGTGAGAGAGGACCTGAGAAAAGATATGAAGGAATAAAACAGATGGAACATTTGTAGAATGTGTACTTAATAAGAAAAAGCTCAGTGAAGATAAATAAACAAGAACTCTCATTATTTTATTTAAAAATGAGAACAAAGAAATGCACACATGGCTATGCATTGGAGGGAATGACCACAATATTTATATTTTAGGGGGAAATTTTAATTGCAGATTAAAAGATCCAGTATAAAAAATAGTTTTTAATATATTTATATTTTATATGGAAACTGATACTGGAGAGAATACATTAAATTATAGTAACATGTAATGAGTTATGGAGACACTATCAGTAACTATGGCAAACTGTACAGCTGATTTTAGAGTTCTCTAAAATATTAGTCTCTAATGGGTCATATTTTCGATTTTTTTAATGTTTTTTAATTTTTAAAGAAATTTTACTATAAAACAGTCACTAATTTTGTCCAGGAAAACAAAATGTTTTTCTCCTTTCTTTTAGATTTGGAGTCAAGATATGAAATAATCAGCTGTGACAAAGTACACATTTATAAAAAACATTCGTCTTTTACCCTACATCAGAAAATTTATAATAGAGAGAAACCTTATGAATGTGACAAATGTGGGAAGGCCTTTAGTCGACATACAGACCTTACAGTACATCAGAGAATTCATACTGGTGAGAAACCCTATGAATGTGAGCAATGTGGAAAATCCTTTAATCGTGCATCCAACCTTCTGCAACATCAGAGAATTCATACTGGTGAAAAACCTTATAAATGTGAGGAATGTGGAATGACATTTAGTTGTAGGATAGACCTTAGAGTTCATCAGAGAATTCATACTGGTGAGAAACCCTATGAATGTGAAGAATGTGGGAAGGCCTTTAGTCGTGCCTCACATCTTACTCAACATGGGAGAGTTCATACTGGTGAGAAATCCTATGTATGTAATGAATGTGGGAAGGCCTTTAGTCAGGGTGGAAGACTTAGACTACATCATAGAATTCATACTGGTGAGAAACCCTATGAATGTAAGGAATGTGGGAAGGCTTTTAGTCAAGCCTCTCATCTTGTGCAACATGACAGAATTCATACAGGTGAAAAGCCCTATGAATGCCATGAGTGTGGGATGACCTTTAGCCGTGGTATAGATCTTAGAGTACATCATAGAATTCATACTGGGGAGAAACCCTACAAATGTAAGGAATGTGGGAAGGCCTTTAGTCGTGCCTCAAATCTTGTTCAACATGAGAGAATTCATACTGGGGAGAAGCCCTATGAATGTAAGGAATGTGGGATGACATTTAGTCGTGGTTATCAGCTCATTCCACATCAGAGATTGCATATTGGCATAAAACCCTACGGATGTAATGAATGTGGGAAGGCCTTTAGTCATGCTTCAGCACTTATTCAACATGAGAGAATTCATACTGGTGAGAAACCCTATAAGTGTAAAGAATGTGGGAAGGCCTTTATCCATGGTGGAAGCCTAAGAATGCATCACAGAATTCATACTGGTGAGAAACCCTATGAATGTAAAGAATGTGGGAAGGCCTTTAGTCGCACCTCAAACCTTGTTAGGCATGAGAGAGTTCATACAGGTGAGAAACCATATGAATGTAAGGAATGTTGGAAGGCCTTTAGTCATATTGAAAGCCTTAGAGTGCATCATAGAATTCATACTGGTGAGAAACCCCATGAATGTAAAGAGTGTGGGAAGGCTTTTAGTAGCAGCCATCAACTAATTGTACATCATAGATTTCATACTGGTGAGAAGCCCTATGAATGTAAGGAATGTGGGAAGGCTTTTAGTGTGTATGGACGACTTACTCGACACCAGAGTATTCACAGTGGTGAGAAGCCTTTTGAATGTAACACATGTGGGAAGTCTTTCAGGCTTAGTTCAAGTCTTAAAGTACATCAGAGAATTCATACTGGAGAGAAGCCTTATGAATATAAGGACTGTGGAAAGGCATATATATGCAGTAGAGAATGTATAGTACATCAACTTTATAACACTGAGAAACTGTGTGAATGAAAGGAATGTGGGAATGATTTTAGATATGATTCAGTTCTTAAAAGGCATTAAATAATTTATACTGGTGATAACTCCTCAAAATGTAAATAATGTTTGGAATTTTTTCATTATTCAAATGTTCATATTAAGAAATTTATAATGTATTTTTATATAATATAGAGAAGCCTTTATTAGCATTTCTCTGTTTATGGATTGTCAGAATATTAATAATGGAGAAAAATTCAGAGAATGTGGAAATGCCCTTGTTTTTTATGCTTTATTTATAAAAGCTCTCCAGCCCTAGTTATTGTTAAATTTGAGGAAATTCATACCACAGAAAACCCCTGTTGACCTAACGAATATGCAAGAACCATAGTGATTGCCATTTGATTCTTTACAGCCTGTATGACATTGGGCAAGATACTATATCCCTGTGGGAGTCATTTGTAAATGGTGATGATAGTACTTGCATTATAGTGCTGTTTTGGGAATATAGAAAACTTGGAAAGCCACCTTAAACATAGTCTCTGTTCAGTAAGTATTAGATACTATTTTTTAGATACTATTTTTAATATCATTATCTGTATTGTTATTAGTGAACTATTAAGAGATCAAGTCAATATGAGTGTAATGAACTTAGAAAAGCTTTATTACTTATGTAATTACTTATGCCTTTTTGAATTTTAAGTAATTTTTTTCTGGGCAAAATCTAGTAGAATATGAAAGTCATGAGGATTTAAAACATGAGTTTTATTGGAGGACTGACACATTTGTTTACATACTGTGGATGCTTTCATACTTCTCTGGCAGAGCTGAATAGTTGCAATGGATGCTGTATGGCCCACAAAGCCTAAAATATTTACTGTCTGGTTCTTTTTTTTTTTTTTTAATGTTCAGTTAACCACTGTATAGTACATAATTAGTTTTTGATATAGTGTTCAGTGATTCATTAGTTAAGTATAACACCCAGTGCTCATAAGAGCACATGCCCTCCTCAATACCCATCACCCTATTACCCCCTCCCCCCACCCTCCTCCCCTCTGAATCCCTCAGATTGTTTCCCGGGGTCCACAGTCTCTCATGGTTCATCTCCTTCTCAAAGGCCTTCTCTGGTTCTCCCCCTTTGGCTTTCCCTCCCTTCCCCGGTGGTCCTCTGTGCTATTGCTTATGTTCCACATATGAGTGAAACCATATGATAATTGTCTTTCTCTGCTTGACTTACTTAACTTAACATAATCTCCTCTGGTTCTTTACAAAAAAATTTGCCAGTTCCTGTTTTAGAGTAATATCCCCATTTTTTCAATACTTGGGATTTTTGTAGAGTACAAGAAAGTTGTCTTACTGAATGGCCCCACCTTCTGGGTTTTTTAAATTATTTCCTTGTGGGTCATTTATCCTTTCTTCTATCTGTAATAGTTCTAGTAAATTCAAAGTTAAAATAAGAGGTTTCATTGAGTCAGTGTTGTGAACATTAAAAAGCATACAATGTTGAGTTTTCCCCACTGTTAATGATGCTGGATGTTAACACGGGTTATAGTGGTGACTGCTAGATCGCTCCATTGTAGAGATCCATTTTATAGTTATTAATTTGTATGGTAATATTTTATCACCTCCTTTTACAAATTGATCATCTCATGTACAAGTTCTGAATTAAATAGAAAATTGAATCAGGTCCTATTCTGAAAGGAATGATAATGAAATGCTTATTCACCAGAACTTTGGTATGTTATCAGTGTTATACTCATTGGAAATTTAATACTCTTCAATACATGGAGAAAACTAAAAATGAAGACTAGAACTTTCTGTTCTCAGCTTTATCTCCAGATTGTATCAATTGTTTGCTACTTAGTGGCATTGATAAAATAATAAGAATTCTACAAAGCTAGAAATTAAAAATGACATAAATTCTAAGCCAATATAAAAAAGCAGTTAATAAAACTAAAATTCTAGAGCTTATTGATTATTAATCAAAATCATATTCTAACAGCTTTGGTTTTTTTCTGGGAAAAGCAATGAATACATCTAGAAGTAGAGTTTAGTGATTTAGAAATGAAACGGAAATCTTGAAACAATGTTTTTTAACTTTAAATTTTCTTCTGTTAGAAGTATCTTTTTTTTGAAATGTTTTTGTTTTTTTTTTTTTAGATATTATTTATTTATTTGACAGAGAGCACAAGCAGGGGGAGTAGCAGGCAGAGGAAGAAGCAGGCTCCCCACTGAGCAGGGAGCCTGATACGGGGCTCGATCCCAGAGCCCTGGGACCATGACCCGAGCTGAAGGCAGATGCTTAACTGACTGAGCCACCCAGTCATCCCTGTTAGAAGTATATTAACATCAAATAGGCTTTGGTAAATCTGCTGAAGGTAAAAATAAGAATGATTATATTATAGTATCATTAGTAAGAAAGGGGATATAATCATAAATATGGAAGAAGAATTTTAAATTATAAGAAAATACTTCAGTTTATTCCAGCATATTGAGAAATCTAGAGAGAATGTATTATGTTCCTAGGAAAAATGTAATTTATCAAAATCAACCTAAGTTGATATCAGACCCTTTTTAATTAATTAATTTATTTAAAGATTTTATTTATTTGACAGAGAGAGAGCGAGAGAGGGAACACAAACAGGGAGAGAGGAAGAACCAGGCCTCCCGCTGAGCAGGGAGCCTGATGCGGGGCTCGATCCCAGGACCCTGGGATCATGACCTGAGCTGAAGGCAGACACTTAACAACTGAACTGCCCAGGCACCCCTAATTTAAATTTTGAAAATGAAAAGAAAATAACCTTTTTCTTTCTTTTTTTTTTTTTAAGATTTTATTTATTTATTTGAGAGAGAGAATGAGATAGAGAGACAGCATGAGAGGGGAGAGGGTCAGAGGGAGAAGCAGACTCCCTGCCGAGCAGGGAGCCCGATGCGGGACCCGATCCCGGGACTCCAGGATCATGACCTGAGCCGAAGGCAGTCGCTTAACCAACTGAGCCACCCAGGTGCCCCCTTTTTCTTTTAAAAGCAGCACTATGGGGGTGCCTGGGTGGCTCAGTCAGTTAAGCATCTGCCTTCAGCTCAGGTCATGATCCTGGGATCGAGCCCCACATCTGGCTGTCTGCTCAGCAGGGAGCCTGCTTCTCCCACTCCCTCTGCCACTCTGCCTACTTGTGTGCGCACACACTGTCTCTGTCAAATAAATAATCTGAAAATAAAAATAAATAAAAACAGCACTATGGCACATACTCAGATAAGAGTTAAGGAATTATTCCTAACAGAGTCTTTCTAGCTCATTTTTACATGCATTACATAATTATAACATCTCTAATAGAATAGGTCCTAAAAATCAAGCAAAATGAGTTTTCCATGTGAAATTAAGCATAGAAAATCTAAATACATTACATACCAATTGAAATAAAGGATCTACCAAAAGAAATATGAAACTAAAAAGCATTAATTTAGAATATCTAAGAGTTAACTTGTGGTTTCATTATAGATCTTGATGAATGACAAAACAATTGATCTGGTATTTTCAAGATTAGAAAAAAGCAACAAATGACAGGTTGTGGGCCAACCACCTATTTTTCTAAGTAAAGCTTTATTCAAACAGCCATACTTGTTCATTTACATATTATCTAAAGGTGCTCTCTCATTTCAATAGTAGAATTGTCTAGTTGTAACATAGACCGTATGCCCCATAAGCTGAAAATATTTACTATTTGCTCTTAACTACTGGTCTTTTAAGAAACTGGCTGACCTGTGATCTAGGTTCATTAGTTTTTCTAATCTTTATTTAACTTTAGGAATGAGTTGAATTATAGATAATTGATTTCTTCAATACTAAATGGAAACTTGCCCCCACTGCCACATTTTACCATTTTCTAAATCAGGATGCTATTTACAATTGATAACTACTTTCATTTCCTTCCAGCCAGATAAATGTCTTAAGTTAGTCATTTAAAATAACTTCCTCTGTATTTTCTGGCATTGTCAAGAAAGTGCCAGCGTCAAATCATACTGGTTTTGATGAAATACTCTGTTTTTCCACAATTAGTGTTCAATTCTATAAAAGAATCAGTACCTTCCAAATAAGATGATTGTGGAAAATCACACCCAGTGTCAACTAACCATCTATGATGTCACTGTGATTGTCCCTTATAATGAACACTTCTGTGTCCATTTATTGCAGATGGGGAATCCAGTATCCTATTCAGTCATTCATCATCTGACAATTAACACCATTGTCCCATACAAGTTTAGGTTTGAGAATTAAATATAACACAAGACAATAATTTGAGTTCTATAGTAAAATATGTCATTGCAATAGGGCAGCATGGTACTTTTCCAGGTTACTATATATGCATGTTGAATATAGAGACATATCTCTACCCAACGTTTTGAAAATTATGCCCCCAGGCACACCATTAGTACTTAATAGTACTTTTTAAAAAGTTACTCTGCTTAAATAAGTTAATGAAATACTGAATACTAAATCTCTACCTTTGAACAATGAAAAGCTTATTATCAACCAAACATGATTAGAGATCTGTGGTAAAGAACATTTTAAAATGTTACCAGTGGGGTGCCTGGGTGGTGCAGTCGGTTAATTTTCTGACTCTTGGGTCCTGAGACCAAGCCCTGCATCTGGCTGGCTCTCTCTCTCCCTCTATCCCTCCCCCACACTTGCGCTCGAGTGTGCCCTCTCTCTCTCTCTCTCAAATAAATAATCTTAAATGTTACCAGGGAATCCCCATTCCTGATGCCTATGTGACCAGGGAATCCCCATTCCTGATGCCTATGAACATTTCCAGGAAATGTTGCCAAATCCAAAGAGAGTGACTCTAGGGTTGGAATTATCAGTCATTATTTCATGTTATTAGTGATGATTGGATGGCAGACAGCTCACATTATGAACCACAATTATCTTTGTTTTTCTGAATGTACAGCTCTATTTTTCTACAAACTGAAATATCTTTTAGCCCAATCTTTATGTACATATACCTCAATGAATTTAAATCTTGCCTTTTGACCATGATACAATTGTTGACAATTTTTCATCGTAGGAAAAAAAAAGTGAATAGCTTTGCTCCTATATACTGGTGTTACTAGTTTTACCAAGGCATAGGTTGCATACATTTTCAGCCTTGGTATGTATTGCTAACTTCTTTATTTTTGACGTCTGACATCTGACAACTCAGTCAAAGGTGAAGTATGCCTTATGTTTCTCCTTCTAGTATGTGGTTTAGTTTTTAGGGTTCTTTTTAAGATTATTTATTTTAAAGAGGGAGAGAGAACATGGGGGGTGAGAGGAGCAGAAGTAGAGGGAGAGGATCTTAAGCAGAATCCCCCACTGAGTGCAGAGCCTGAGGCCAGGCTCAATCACAGGACCCTGAAGTCATGACCTGAGCTGATATCCAGAGTCTGACGCTTACCAACTGAGCAACCCAGGTACCCCAGTTTTTAGTTTTTCTAATTACTAGTGAGTTGAATATTTTCCACATATTTTTATTGGCCAGCCATGCTACTTATTGTGATTTTTCTAGTTC